AATGGAAATTTAACTAGTGAAATAATTGTATATCTAGAGAGGCTTTAATCTTTTATTAATCGCTATAAATTACACTGTCTTTCTTATAAATTTTAAAATAGTAGAAAGCTGAAACTGATAACGAAAAAATAAAGCATCTGATATGATTTAATATATAGCAATTTTTTTTGTGTGTCATTTTTGATATACTTTTATATGCTTTTTTTATTCATAGCAGGTGAAGAAGTAGAATTTTTGCCAAGTTGGCATTTCGAAATCTTGCCTTGTGACTTTATTACTTGAAGTCAAACAATTATAGTTAATGTCCTCTCTAGTTAAGAGACACGTGAGTGCCATTATTTCATAATAAAATTTATTTAGATTCTATAATGGAAGTTTTTGAACGATTTCAGCAATAATATCTGGAATAATAAGTGGGTTATATGTATGCATATTGTATATCTCAAACATATGGATTTTATCGAGTAAGACTTTTTATTAAATGAAAAATTATCGTGTGATATCACTTTATATAACTCAATAATTAATTATATATCTGTCTTCGAGCTTCATATAATTTTAGTCATCAGCTTGCATTAATTTACTCAATTCTGATCTAAAAATATTTTTTGTAATTTGTTCCATTTCACCTTGTTTTCGCATCTTCTTTACTTCGATGGGATCAGGTTTGACGATATCAGGTTTCTTGGGTATATCTATTTGAGGTGTTAGTTTGGGTGATGTATTCACCTTCTCAAATTTACTATTATTGATATACCAGTTAGGTAAGTTCACGTCTTCGATTGAATTTGCATATGAGTATGGGTTCTCAGACTTCCATATTTTATTACACTTTTGTATACCAATTCTATACCACTCCAAAACTTTTTTAGATCCACCTTTTAATTCCTTGCATACATTATGTAATCAATATCCTCTTTAGCTAAACGGGATGGTGGTGCCCTTGATTTGATAGACTTCTTCGACTGTTGTGTATTGGGATCTTTACTGGTTCTTTTTGGTGTCATCTTAGAATGAAATTATATCTGGCAAGAAAAAAAAATGTGTAATTTATTCTTAATTATGTGTACTCAACACGTCTTATCTTTACCTGAAATTCTGGAAAATATCTTTAACTATATCCCTCATGAAGAACATTTATTTCAACTTTTTATGGTTAATTATACCTGATGTTTAGAAGGAGTTCGATCTCTCTTGAAGTGATATAGGAATATGTTTTATCGATATAATAATAATTTTAATTTTATTCTATTAATAAATTAATTTGAAGGTTTTGAGTGTCGCAATATATATAAACCTGTTCACAAAAAAATATATTGGCCTACTGAAGATGAATATAATTATACACATGACTTGGATAAAGAAGATAAACTTAAAAATATTTTCTCTGAAATCGAAGACATTATTGAATATCTTAAGATGATAAAGGATTATATACCATCCATATTATATACCGAGTTTCGCAAAGATATCGTTAACCTTACAAATAATTATTAATCTTTAGAAGATGAAATTCAAGATATACTAGATTATCTATGTGAACCGTCTTTTTATGACAAATAAAAAAGCAAATAGTAAAGTCGACTGGCAATCCTTTGTTTAACCATATCTATAAACCTTCGAATTAGATATTTATTATATTAAACAAAAAAATATATTATTAATTTAGGAAATGTCTGTGAAGCAGGACACTATGTATCTATCTTGTGTTAATACTTCATCCGTACATTGAGTGAGCTAGACTCGATAATTCCGATTGCATTCAAGACAGACAAGACGTTGTTACTATGGATTTCCTCCACTTTCATAATTTCCTATTATTTTATTTTATTCTTATTTGTATTTATTTTAATAGTATAGTTATTTATTATATTTTAGTATATTTAGTATATTTATTTATTAGTATTTATTTATTTAGAAGCATAATACGAATTATGTAAATCAATAATGTAGATCATAGTGGCCTAGTTACTGGTCAATTTACTGACCAATTTA